AGGCCCACCGTCCACACCACACGGGGCGGCCTGGGTGGGATGCGGCGTCCATGTGGCCATCCGTGGTCGGGGCCTGTGGGAGGCTCAGTGCCATCTGCAAAAGCTAACGAGGGTGGATCCGGCCCTCCCGGGGTCCTCTCGGGGATGCCTGGGGCGCGGGTGGCGAGGGAAGTCCTTGGTGCCCAGGCCTGGCCCACAGAGTGACCCCATGACTGGGACACAGGGCCTTCCCCTTCCCAGCCCCAGGCTCCTGGGGGAACTGTGTGACCCTCACCGGGACTTTGACCGTCAGAGCCTGGGGGACCCCAGCCGTCACCTCGGAGCAGGAGTTTCAGGCACTGCTTCCCCTCCACCCGTTTCCCATCCGGGAATTCCAGGCCCAATAGGGTTCAACGAAAGAATTCTCTGCCCCAAACTCAGAGAGCCACTGACGTGGTCCCAGCCCCTCATCGGAGAGAGGAGCTCGTGAGGCCAGAGGGGGTGGTGACTTGCCCAGAGTCACGCAGCCCACAAGCGATGCGAGAAGCAGCGTGGCGCCCAGGCCGCGTGTGGGCAGGACTTGAGCCTCGTGGCAGAGGACGGAGCCTTCTGGGAGCGGGCGCTCTGCCAGGCCGATGGGCCGCAGGGGGCGTGAGGACGAGCGACCTCAGCAGTGTCTGCCCGCAGGTACCTGGGCCAGCTGGACGACGGCGAGTTCGAGGGGGCCCTGCAGGAGCTGCGGCTGACCCGCAGCATCTGGACCATTGACCTGGCCTACCTGATGCGCCACTTCGGGGTGCGGCACCGCTTCTGCACCCAGACCCTGGGGGTGGACAAGGGCTACAAAAACCAGGTGAGCCCCCAGTGACTCTCACCACCGATGTCCCTCTCTCCCTCCCTCCCCTTCCTCTCTGACATCAATAAAAAAAATTTTTTTTAAAGGAACCAGGTGAGGGGCTGGCCAGCAGCCCTTCCGCAGGTTCAGTAGTTGGGAGAGCGTGCAGTCAAGGCCTGGCCACGTGAGTGGGCACACAGGTGGGTGGAGCCAGGGAGCAGATGTGCTGTGGGCAGGACTTAGCCAGTCAGTGCGGGTGACCTTGAGGTGCCTCCCACACAAAGGATCTGAGCAGCAAGCTGGTTCCTCCCAGCACCCTCGCCCCAGAGGGCCCTGCCACTCGCCCTGGACAGCGTGAGCGTCTCGGGCTGCCTTCCGCCTCCTCCCCCGCTGCCCTCAGCACAAGGCAGGCCCCGGGCTCAGCGCACACTCTCACCTCATCCGGCCACCATCTGCCCATGTTCTTCCTTCTCACGGAGCAGCGGCTCCAAGCTGGGTAATGGGTGTTCTGGAAGAAAACCAAAATATCTTTCTTTTTTCTGAAAAAGGATGCTGACCTAGGCCGGCCAGTACTGGTGTTCCCCCGCCCTGCACAGCAGAGCCAGGCGGCCTGCCTCCAGGAGGGTCAGCCCGGCTCTGCAACTTGGCGGGCAGAGCCACTACTGGCATCTTTGGCAAGAGGGTGGCTGCCGGCGGCCAGGGCCAGGCAACCTCATTCTCCCCTGAACCCCCAGGCCAGGCAGAGGGGGCTCTCGCATCCGGTGTGGTCACCACGGCTGCACGGCAGAGCTGGGGCCCAAGCACAGGGTCACCTGCCCCCGCCAGAGGGGCTCCGGCC